TTTTTTTTTTGCGATTCGTTTTGTGCTTCCTGTTTGTTTGCTGGGAAAAACGAGGTGAAACCCAGAAAACTTTCTGCAACTCGTACTGTCGTCTAGGTCTTGTGCTCGAAGAGGAGAGCAGCTTAGGGTTTCCATTTGATTTGCTTTGGCCAAATCTGAGCTGGAACTTGTTTCTTTCTCTGGATTTCTCGGGAAAATATTATTTCCCTCTTCTGGAAGATATTTGTTTTTCGTCTGGTTTTCCTGTGCAAATATTCGCAACTCCTTGATAGCGTTTGCTAGAGAAAAGAGTTATATAGAGCAAAGTTTCGGATTCTATTAAATCGTGGAAAATTCGAGTGAGTAATTTCTATTGAGGAAGTTCGAGGAAGATGATGCCTTCGCAGCCGTCGGTACCTCATGCATGCATGCCAAACTAAAGGACAAAAAAATGCAAGTCGGGCGAAGAGAAAAAAGAACTAGTTAGTAGGACTAGTTGACGCTAGCGGACGAGTTGACTCAAAGATCAGACGAGTCAACCCAGTGACCAGAATTGGCAATTTATTTTTCTTTAATCAAGTTGGCAGATTTAATGTGGAACCTGTGGGTAAATGTCTTCAAATCCGTTGAAGCAGGTGGACGGAGGCGAGACTCGAGCAAGTGCGGGCGAAAGGCGAGTGGGCTCCAGAGGGACGAGGAACACTACACGACAGAGTTTCTCGGTCAAGGACGAAACGACGTCGGTTAACTAAGCGTATAACGGTAAATATGTAGCCGAGAATGTGACTGTATTCAGTTAGTCGTATTGAGCTCATGGGCTCAAATGAATCCGATTATGGTGGGCCCTTTAGGCCCAATAGAGCGGCCTCGGCCAACGACTTGTACGGTTGCCTAAATCGTGAGGTGTGTCACGCCATGTGCATGGCGGGAATGACCGTACGTGAAAACCCAGTCCTCGACTCCTTATGAATCATCAACACTCCGAATTCAAAGTAAGTCCCAGAATCTCCCTCGACGTTGAAGCTTTTCTTGGTCCTCTGGTGAGTCGTTTGAGTTTTTTGGTTTTGGTAAGCCCTTTCGTTTTTGCGCTTCCTGTTTGTTTGCTGGGAAAAACGAGGTGAAGCCGAGAAAACTTTCTTCAACTCGTACGGTCGTTTAGGTCTTGTGATCAAAGAGGATAGCAGCTTAGGGTTTCCATTTGATTTGTGTTGGCCAAATCTGAGATGGAACTTGTTTCTTTCTCGGGATTTCTCGGGAAAATATTATTTCCCTCTTCTGGAAGATATTTTTTTTTCATCTGGTTTCCTCTGTAAATATTTGCAACCGAGAAAACTTTCTTCAACTCGTACGGTCGTTTAGGTCTTGTGATCAAAGAGGATAGCAGCTTAGGGTTTCCATTTGATTTGTGTTGGCCAAATCTGAGATGGAACTTGTTTCTTTCTCGGGATTTCTCGGGAAAATATTATTTCCCTCTTCTGGAAGATATTTTTTTTTCATCTGGTTTCCTCTGTAAATATTTGCAACTACTAGATACGGTTTCTCCACAGATCTACAACCATCACATATGATTTCGTATTTTCACGTACGCATATGCTCGTTTATTTGGTAAGCCCATTCGTTTTTGCGTCTGCTGGGAAAAACGAGGTGAAGCCGAGAAAACTTTCTGCAACTCGTACGGTCGTCTAGGTCTTGTGCTCAAAGAGGATAGCAGCTTAGGGTTTCCATTTGATTTGTGTTGACCAAATCTGAGCTGGAAATCGTTTCTTTCTCTGGATTTCTCGGGAAAATATTATTGCTTCTTTACTTCCTTGCCTCTAGCTGGAACTCGAACTCGAAATGTTTCGGTGTCCTATAGAACTCTGGATCTTTGTGCTAAAGCATTGGATGGTTGATTCGTCATCTTCCTCTGTTTGGTATCTGAATTCTGTGTCATTTCTTCGTCCAGGAAATTCCTACTAGAAATGGCTTGTTTGCGCAGTGTCTCGAGGAGGACAAATCTTTTGCCTAGACAGTTCTGGGTGCTCGAACGCCCAGTTCTTCGTGTTAACAAAGATGATACCGGAACTGATTGTCTGAACTCAAGTCCTTTGACTCGTGGAGTGCACAGTCAAGCTCGTAGGCTTGATTTTTTGTTGGAAAGGAAGAAACACACATCTTTTGCCCGACCATTGGGACCTGGCTTCTTTCTCTGTAGGCACATGTCTTCGAAACCGGGAGAATGTTCGAACAAGATCGATTGTAATCCAGCAGTTGTTGAGGAACTTGTCCCAGAAGGATCTTTGGAAGCAGTAATCACTCATGTCTCCTCTGTAAACGAGGTGGCAAATGCAGCTGCGGATTCTTTTCTTCATGTTGCAGCCATCCAGCACTTTATTGACAGTGTTCATGCGTTTACAGGCTTCAATTGGTATCAATTTAGTTTTTGTTCATCATGCATCTTGCTTATATATACTTTGTGGTTGGCTTCTAAACAATTTACGCTGCTGTGTAGGTTCGCATCCATAGTTCTCTCGACGTTTCTCGTCGGAGGACTATATATCCCAACCCGTGTAAAAGTTTTGAAGATGGGTCCACATTTAGCTGTTAGTTTTCCATGCTTTTTTCTTGGCCTGCCAACTCTTATCAAATTCCTTTGCAGCATTTAGTTTCATTTCTTGCATCGGGCAATAGTTATAATCCATGTTCATAAGTCGTTCTTCTTCCTCTTTCAGGATATATACCAACATTTGAGGAAAATGCTCAAGGTTTGTTATCCTTCGTACCATCTTTGGACTTCCATGCATTTACATCCATATTCCAATTTCCTGGCCAGTTAGGCTTCTGGTTTTCCAGAAAAAGGAAATCACAAAGGTTCATACGTACCTTTGCTGACATCTTGGCCTCAAATATTTGAATATCTCATGCTTATCTAATGTCTCCAGAGATATGGTTTGGAGACCGGAGAAAAAGAATGGGAGGCAATTTTTAAAGGGTGAGCTCTGTTTGACCGTATGATAAAAGCATTACATGAACGGAAAGACTGCCTCTCAAATCGGTATCTAATTTGCTCTTTTGCATCTTTGGCGGACTTCAGGTTTAATCCTCTTCTAGCTTCTATTCTGATTGCAAAGCTTGCGGAGGGGTTCATCTACATCAGCACTTTCCTTGCGGTAAACATACGAAACTCGCTGCTTTGCATCTTTTGGCAATCTGTATTAACCCAAAAAAAAACTCTGAACAGATACGGAACATGGCTCAGAAGATGCCATCCTTCGAAAGCGGTGGAATCCTCTGGTTCACTGATCTTACAACTCCAGACAGCTTTTACATCTTGCCTGTTGTGACGGGGCTCACTTTCTGCTTTACACCGACAGTAGGTGTTTATAATTACGCAAGCCAAACGCAACATTTATTCATTTAACTTGTGTTTTCCGTTTTGATAGCCCTTCAGTAGGCAGCAGAATTCAGCAGCCAGAAGAACCATGAGGCTGCTTTGTTGGATCTCTGCGAGTGTTGCATTTCAAGCTACTTTCAGTATTGAATCGGTAAAGCTTGAGTTCTGAGAAGCGTAGCTTCCATTTCTTTGTCCAGCATGCTTGATATCACAGCCATTCATGTGAGTCCCAATCTGTTGTAACTTTTGCAGGCCGTGTACTGTTTCATGATCTCATCTAGAGTAGCTATGCATGGAATAGAACTGGGTAAGTGGTTTTTCTCTGCGAACATAATGATATGTTCTCCCTTCCTTTCTTGTTTTGTTAAACATTTGGGAACAAGTGGTGGTTCTGTCTCTTATATTCATACACCTTTGTTCCCTCATTATCAATGCCAGCTATGGTAAAATCTCCAAAGGTGAGGGAGTTGCTCGGTCTCCCAGACGTTTTCGCATTATACGCGGCTTGGAAGGCCTCCTATGAAGATATTATCCTCGAGCTGTTAAAGTTGAAGCAGAAGCAGAAGCAGAAGGGCAAGAAGTGAAAAGTCAAGAGATTTTTTCCTGCAACTGCTTCATATTGTCTCCTCCGAATTTAACTATCAATCGGCCTTTTGGTCTTGTTCTTCTTGACTTTTAAGGTTTGTAGTGTATCGAACAAATCCTATCCTGAAAGCATCGTATCCTATCTAATGAACTTTATCAAGGGCTGGATTGGTATTTCCAAGTTTAATTGAAAATTTATGATCAAAGCGGCTATTTAAATTTATTCAACTCGATTTAGTTATAGTTACAATTTGAATCATTTATATCTAATTCAAATTATAATCAAATAGTAATAAAATCTAAATTCGATTTGGTTTGATTATAGTAGTAAAGTAACTAAATTTTTTAGAATAAAAAATAGAAAAAGTTAAACTCTAGTTATATACCATATTTACAAAACTTATGTCAATAAATTTTGAAAAGATGTGATTAGATCAAGGTGGAGTTCGAAATGGGACGGGTACTCTTTGCGTATTCCCAATTCAGTCAACCACATCTTTTCAATATTTTTTTTCCATATAATGTGTATCAATAATATTTTTTTTATTTTTATCTAAAAAATTATGTGCATATATATATATATATCTAAAACCTGTCTAAATGTGTGTATATACATGTATTTATTTATTTTTATACATGCACAAACTACATACATATAGAATAATGAATATGGATCTAGAAACGGTTCGGTCCGGATTATGATACGCCCTCTAGGCCCAATAGAGAGGCCTCGGCGAACGATTTGTACTGTTGCCTAAATCGTGAGGTGTGCCGCGCCATGTGCATGGCGGGAAGGACCGTACGTGAACACACAGTCCTTGTGAACCATCAACACTCCGGATTCAAATTCAGCTCCGCGATCTCTCTTGACATTGAAGCTTTTCTTAGTCCTCAGCTGAAGAGGTGAGTTTTTTTTGCCATTCATTTTGTGCCCTCTGTTTGTTTGTTGGGAAACTGAGGTGAAACCGAGAAAACTTTCTGCAACTCGTACGGTCGCCTAGGTCTTGTGCTCGAAGAGGAGAGCAGCTTAGGGTTTCCATTTGATTTGTGTTGGCCAAATCGGTAAAAAAAATTGTTTTATGATTCTAGCATCTGGTTTCCTCTGTAAACATTTGCAACCAGTAGATAGCGTTTCTCTACAGATTTACAACCATCACATATGATTTCGTATTTGCACGTAAGCATATGATGTGTGCGGAAGCGTACCGGATCTCAAATGCGAGACGATGGAATCAAGCGAGAGAAAATAAAAGACACCAGTATTTAATGTGGTTCGGCAGAATACCTACGTCCACGGCGAGGAAGAAAAATAAATCCCACTATATCGGTGAACAAATATGGAATACAAGACATACTCAACCTCACTTTCCAAATCTCCAAGAAACACCATTTCTCTCGTAATACTCAGAAGAAGAAAAATAATCAAAGTGTATCCAATAACCTCACCGAAACAAATATCTTGTATATCCAAAAGAGAAACCCCAAAAAAACCCTCGAAAAAAGGACCAAAAGAGATTTCTTGTTGAAGAAGAAAACTCTTTAACTCACACTTCTTCACACTTCTTATTCTGATTGTAACTCTTCTCGTTTGTGATGCTCCAACATGTAAATGACACGACTATTTATAAGGAGAATAGAGGAATTAGCTTGTGGTTTTGAATGAACATCACCAACCGAGCCATCTTGTATGGTTCATGTTTTTCCAAATAAAAAAATTGGTCACTTAGCTTTGTCTCCCACTAATTATTGGAGCCATCACTAACAATCTCCACCTTAGCTCCAATAGCATCATCTGCAAAATCAAACAAGAAAGGATATCTCCAACTGTGCCTCATGGCACTCAAATGCCCAAAGGCGTTCAAATGCATAGGATGTTGACCAAGTTCAAACAATGATTGAACTTGATCGCTATGATCACCTTGATCAGCATGTCTGCAGGATTATCAAGAGTCTTCACCTTCATGAGTTGTATGGTACCTTCTTCGATAATCTCCCGCACAAAGTGAAAACGAACATCTATGTGTTTCGTCCTTGCATGGTAGACTTGATTCTTGGCCAAGTGGATGGCACTCTGACTATCGCAGTATACAGAAATGTGTTTCTGTTCAACTCCAAGTTCACCAAGTAAACCACGCAACCAAATAGCTTCCTTCACAGCCTCTCCAACTGCCATATACTCTGCCTCTATTGTAGACAAAGTCACCGCAGACTGTAAGGTAGACTTCCAACTCACCGGAGCTTTCGCCAGTGTAAACACATATCCAGTCGTTGACCGTCGCTTATCCAAATCACAAGCAAAGTCGAAATCAACATATCCAACCACACACTGACCAAGTGATCCATCTTGTTGAAACACCAATTCAAAGTCCAAGGTCCTCTTCCAGGATTATGCATATACCTCCCAATGTCCTCTTCCAGGATTATGCATATACCTGCTCACCACTCCAACGACATGTGAAATATCGGGTATGGTATACACCATCGCACATATCAAGCTACCAACCGCATTTGCATATGGAACCTTCATCATCTATTCATGTTCCTCATCTGTGGTAGGAGATAATGCCGAACTGAGCTTGAAATGAGGGGCAAGTGGTGTACTTACAGGTTTTGACTTTTCATCAAAGCCAAAACGTTGAAGTACTTTCATCAAATATTGCATCTACGACAAACAAAGCTTGTCCATCTTTCTGTCTCTGCTTATCTCCATCCCAAGAATCTTCTTTGCTTCTCCAAGATCCTTCATCTCAAACTCTTGATTCAATTGAGCCTTCAACTTTTCGATCTTCGACTGGCTCTTTGATGCGATCAACATATCATCCACATATAAGAGTAAGTAGATGAAAGATCCATCTGGTAACTTGTAGAAGTAGACACAATGATCATACTTGCTCATTGTGTATCCTTGCCCGATAATGAACTTGTCGAATCGTTTGTACCATTGTATGGGAGACTGTTTCAGTCCGTACAACGACTTGTTCAACTTGCAAACCCAATCTTTTTTACCAGAAACGGTAAAACCTTCTGGCTGAGTCATATAGATTTCCTCCTCCAAATCTTCATGTAAGAACGCCGTCTTCACATCGAGTTGTGCTAGCTCCAAATCAAACTGTGCTACCAAGGCCAACAAAATCCGAATGGATGTATGTTTCACAACTGGAGAAAATACCTCATTGTAGTCGATACCCTTCTTCTGAGCGTAGCCTTTCACTACCAATCTTGCCTTATAGCGGACATCAGTCTTGTCGGAAAATCCTTCTTTCTTTGCAAATACCCATTTGCACCCAATCGCCTTCTTTCCACTTGGTAACTTCGCCAACTTCCAGGTATTGTTCTTCCGAAGAGATTCCATCTCTTCCTCCATAGCCTTCTTCCACTTCTCACTTTCAAAACTCTTGACTACATCCTTGTAAGTGATAGGAATATCATCATCAATCACCGGAAGGGCAAAAGCTACTGCAGCATATCGAACATGCATTTTCAACGTTCTTGTCGGCTTACGAAGTGCAATGGGAAGTTCCTTCTGAGGTTCTTGGATGGAAACCTCATCTTCTTCTTCAGATTCTTCAACGTCCTCCTCTCCCATAGGAGGTTCTTTGTTCGCTGGAATTAACTTCGCAGTCTCAAACTCCACCTCTTGTGGACTACTCTCCACCTGCTGCCGAGCACTACCAACTTGCTTCTTCAGCATGGTTAGCTCATCAAATGTGACATCCCTACTAATAATGATCTTCTTTGATTCAAGACACCAAAGACGATATCCTTTCACCCCTGGTGTAATCCCCATGAACAGTGACTTCTTAGCTCTGTGATCCAACTTTGATTCCTTCACATGATAGTAAACAACCGAACCGAATATGTGCAGGGAATCATAATCATTAGCAGTTTTTCCACACCAAACTTCCATGAGTGTCTTGTCTTCAATTGCAGCAGATGGTAACCGGTTGATGAGATGGCTCGCATACGTCACAGCCTCAGCCCATAACCGTTTGTCTAATCCAACATTAGACAACATACACCAAATTTTCTCCAATAAAGTTCGGTTCATGCGTTTTGCCACTCCATTCTGTTGCGGATTATTTCGAACAGTGAAGTGTCTGACGATGCCATCATCTTGACAGATTTTGGCTAGTGGATCACTCATGTATTCTCTTCCATTGTCTGTTGGAGACGCTTGTTCTTTCTCCCAGTCTGGTTCTCCACCATATTTTTCCATTTAAGAAAACAATTCAGCACTTCATCCTTGGTCTTCATCACGTACAACCATACTCTTCTTGAAAAGTCGTCAACAAAAGTAACAAAATACAGACCACCACCTAACGAGGTCTCCCTTGTAGGTCCCCATACGTCAGAATGAATATAATCCAGAATACCTTCGGTGTTGTGGATAGTTGTCCCAAACTTTATTTTTTATTGCTTTCCAAGAACACAGTGCTCACAAAACTCCAACTTGCATAGTCTGGCTCCTTTCAGCACACCTTGTTTGACGAGGTTCTGCAAAGCTTTCTCTCCAGGATGTCCCAAGCGCATGTGCCACAACCTGGTGACCTCAGAATCCTTATCTTCTCCAGCCGTAACAGCAATTGTTCCAATAACTGTACTACCTTCGAAATAGTACAAGTTGTTCCTCCTTACTCCTTTCAGGACCACCAATGCGTCAGAAACAACTTTAAGAATTCCATCTCGAATAGTCACGGTATAACCTTTAGATTCCATGGTTCCCAGTGAGATGAGATTCTTCTTCAAATTTGGTACGTACCGAACCTCCGATAGAATCCTTGTAGTTCCATCATGGCACCTCAGTCGGATTGAACCTATCCCAGTCGCTTGTAGAGCGTCATTGTTTCCCATGTAAATAACTCCTCCATCTAGTTCTTCAAAGTTGAAGAACCACTCCTTGTTGAAACACATATGGTAGGTGCAACCCGAGTCCATAATCCACTTGTCAGAGCGGGACTTTGATGACGTGCCGATCAAAACGAACTCTGACTCATCAGCTTCTTGTTTGGCGACAAAGGCGTCTGAAGTCGACTTGAAAACGACCTTCCCATTTTCTTTCTTCTTTAGCTTTGGACAATCCTTCTTCCAATGCCCGGTTTCATGACAAAAGGCACATTCATCCTTCGCAAGTCTGTCTTTTGAGCGAGATCTACCCTTC